CTCAAGGTGGACTGAGTCTGGGTCAGGTCAGGCTCCGGGCCTGGCTTGGGTGGGCTCCAGGTCCAAAATATTCGGGCCCGGTACCGGACCGGGTTAGTACCGGGACCGAATCGGGCATGAAAATGATGAAATAACTTCTTTTTTGTCGTTTTGAATTAATTCCAACCACCCACCCCAAAACCCCTCCAAACCGTTGAGCCCCACCCACCCCCCAAACCCCTCCAAACCGTTGAGCCCCCACCCACCTAGCACTCAGCCCAATGAGAAAAAATTTTAAAAAATATTGGGCCCAAACCGGACGGGCCGGTCACCTTAAAACACAGCCCGTAGCTAACCTCATTAAATTCTGGCCCAAATAGAACTCATTCAGTTAATAAGTTTAAGAGGGGACGCATGGAGTAACTTCTTAATTATCACATTTTTTATGCTCGCCCAAACACTTTCTCATAATATATTCAAATCATCTTATTTAATTAGTATTGTCTAATAAAAAAAGCGTGTCATTTTAATGGAAGTAGTAATACATATCAATGATATCATAGCATTTTTCTTCAAGTGTTGTTATCTTTCATTTTTTCGCTTCCAAATAGAACTCATTCACTCATATTTTGAAATGGTATTCATGTTTTACTATTTTCATAGAAAAATTAAATCTATTTTAGGAATAAGTGTTTGGTCATAAAAGGCTATTTACTTTCATAAGTTAAGAATTGTAATTGCTCTTTACTTAAGCATGATTTGATTAGATCATTTCCATTCATGCTCTAATTTTAAATAACCTGTTTTTCTCTTACACATTTTTTTTAATTCTAAAAGTTTTGTGATTCTTTTTATATCGGTCTAGTTATAATATTTTAAAGTCGGTCTTGGGGTAAGGGCAGATTCAGAAATTTAGGTTGAACTGCAAAATAATTATACAAAACTTCGATATTATACGTGGGTGGGCTAAGAGAAAAAAAAAGTGGAAATATCCACTTGGGTCTATATTTCCTAACTGCATTTCATTTATGTCTTCTAATTTTTTACTTTTCATTTATAAACTTTCACCTTTTCACTTTTAGCTAATTTATTTCAAAAATAATCTAATCTAAATCTAAATAAATCCCCAATCGAAACGTCGATTTCTCGCATCAAATATCGGTCCATCTTCGGCCATCTATGGAGGAAAACCTTCCTTCTCCAAGATCGAGTTGCAGACTGCAATAACAAGGGGCCCGTAGAGACGGTGGACGTATGCCACAACTTCAAGTTCGCAGGGGACCTTTGAGGCAACGGCGGCTATCATCTGGAGCGGCGGCGAGATCTAAGGCGAGCGCGGCAAGTAACATCAGTAGGGGAGCTTCAGACATATGCACATAGCGGTGACTTGGACGGTTTGCTCATCTTTAGTCTTCATGACCTCACCGCTGGTCAAACTGAAAAATTTAAGCAAAAACGTCATAGATGTGTGCGGCTGTTTTCCCCTCCCCCTCATCAGGCGCCGCCTCCGCCTTTGCCTGCTCGGTTGCTCACTGATTCGTTGCCTAATTGCCTCTTTGGTTTCCCATTTGCAGGTATGTGATTGAGATTATGAACATTATATTTTAATTTCTCTTTAATTTTTAATTTTAATTCATATAGCTAATCTTTAGTTATATTTCCGATTCAGCTTTGTTTATTGCAAAAATTAAATTTAGCATTAATCACAGTCTTGTATCGATACCTTGTTTTCAGTATTTTTGTTTGCCCTAATTGAAGTTCTTTTCTTCTAGAGTGAATGACTCATTTCTCTTTTATTACATCATTTTTGTTTATAGCTTAATTGAAAACACATCTTCTTACTCACTCTAAAGGACATTTTTTGAGTTCTTAAATGTTAATTAATCCAATAGATTAGTGATTGATTAGGCAGTAACAGGATATTCTCAAATTGATTATTTAATTTGTTGAATTCTGAAATTTCAACAAATACTCCTTTCATAAAACAGTTTGAGAATTTCTGAGGTTTGAACAAATACTCCTTTCATAAAATAGTCTACTTTCTTTTACAGAGTATGTCTTTACTTCTCATGCTTATTGTGTATCCTTTTGGTCTTGTCCTCAGCTTTAGTTCCTTCCGTAGTGGTGTCCAGATTAGCATCCTCATTAGGGAGCTCAATACACCATGGAAGAACAACTGAATGATCTTCTGATTATTTGATAGTACAGAGTGAATGAATGGCTCTTTTTGCTACAACCTGCCACTTTTATGGGTTCTTCCAAATTTAGTCACCACATCATTATACAACATCTGATTATGGTCTTATGGGATTCTTTTTAGTGTTATTGCAAAAATTTCCCATGTTGTTCTTTCACTTCCCCACAAGGAGTTGCTACAGAAATTAAACAGTTCACATTAGTTTGGATGATCGCAGAAGTGCTAAGTGTTCTCCTCCGTGATGATAATATTACAGGATCCTCATAGTCTGGATTCATTCTCTTAGGCTTTGTGTATATGCGGGTCAAATTTAGATATCTGAATTTGAATTTCATTGATGAACCCAATTTGGAGCACATGGGGAATTGATGGGTGTTGATGAGATATTGCTATAAGCAGCATGCGTTTTCGTAGAAGTGAAGTGAGCAGCTAAATGACCACGAAGCATCTCCCTGCTTCTTGAATCGCATGTGAACAGCTTCCCTATATGGATGTGAAGAACCATCTCTCGTTAGAAGTTAGAAGTGTGAAGATGTGCAACTCTACATGTTTTTAGGGTTGTTCTTCATGTATGAAATACTGCATCCCAAGGACATTCTTTATCCTTTAGACTACTTGTAAATGTAGATTAGAAAATGAGCTTGGTTGTACACTCTATATATTGTGTAATGATATTTGTAATTCTAAACATGAATATGAAACATGAAATTTAAATGTATTGTATGTTGTATTTTCCCTTTTGTTTCTTTTTGTTTTATTGTGTTGTTTTTTGTTGCATCTTGTTGTTTTTTTTTGTTTCATTTTGTTGTTTATTGTTGATATTGATTAATAATGCCTGATTTTATTTATTATTCTTAATTTTGTATTTATTTTTCCAGTTATTTTTTCTACTTTGGCACTAAGACACCCTATACATGTGTGTGTACTCATAAAATTGCAAATAGTCATAAGAAAAAAAAATAAACAATAAGAAACAAAATTAAACAATAAGAAACAAAATATGAAAATTCATCAACAGAAAGAAACAAAAAAAATAACCATACAAAAAGTAATGCAACAAAATAAACAATTTTTTTCAAAATTTTCAGGTTTAATTTTTTACATTTAATTTTCATTTTTCATATTTTTATTTCTGATTTCTTCTATTTTTTATGTTTTATAATTTAATTTATTTCCCAGTTTTAAGAATTTATTTTCTGTTTTTATTTTACTAATATATATATATATATTTTGAGTTTTTCTAATTTAAACACTTATTTAAATTTCTTAGTTTTTTATTTCTTTTCCATTTTTTTTAAAGTTTATTCTTTTCATAAAAATCTTGAAATGCCTTCCATGGTTTTCTTATACGGAGTAGTTTTAAAACATTTTTTATTTATTTATTTTACATATTTGTCTATAACTTTTAGGTTTATAGGTTTTTTTTTTAAATTCCACACGCTTATGAGCTTACGTTGATTTTCTTACTTTTTATTTTTATGAATTATATTTTCTATATATATTTTTCTTTAAATATTCCGTATTTAATTTGATTTTTTTTTTTGAATATTTTCAATTTATATATTTATTTGAATTTTTTAGATTTTTTATTTTGCATATATTCCAATATTAAAAAGTAATCTTTCACAAATTTTCTAATTACGTTTCATATTTTTAATAGTTCCAGAACTTTTTTATATTATTTTATATTTCATAGTTGTTTTTTAAATTTAACTTATAGGTTAAATTGGCATTTTTATTACAACTTTTTTTGAAATTTTTATTTTTACTTTGAATTTTTCTTTAGTTTCTTAATTAATTTTGTTTTCACACTCATAATTTATTTCCAATTTTTTGTATTCGATTCTTTTGATGTTTTAATATATATATATACACACACATTTTATTCTATTTAAAACAAAAAACAAAAAAAGAATAATTCCTAGAATTTTATGAGTTCAACAAATAGGCCACTAGAGAGCAGAGATACGTAGGTTCTCAATTACGGAGTAAAGATACTGAACTTAGCTTGCGAAGGAGTCCATACTGAAGCATGGTCTATTAGTGAAAGAAAAAGCTTAAGTAGTCTACTTTTGAAAAAAACTTTAGCTAGTGACAAAAATGATATTATTTCCACTCTTTAGCTTATTTCTGAAAAATTCCCAAAAAAAAATTACACCACACAAATTAGGTTGTGTTTAAGCCCACTATAACCATGTAGTATAATAAAGTAGTTTGGTTCAAGGAATTCAAGAATTACAAAAAATTACAAAAATAGGTTGGGGACTTGGGGGTGGGTAAAATTGTTTGGCTTCCCCCAAATTTGGGGAGACCTTAACTTTGAGATGCCCTTATTACTCCATTGATGGAAGAAATAATTTTGGAATAGAAGATGTTATCTCATGCCTCCTAATACAAAGACTTCGAATTTAACCACGAATGTTTCATTGGTATCAATCAAACATAAAGACCTACAAAATAGTGCATCGTGATTACAATTAGCAGTTGGAAATTGGAATCACATAGGTCATATCAATTTCAAAACTTATACTAATAAGTTCATTTCTCACATGCAAAATGAGTGTAAAGTCATTAATTTAAAATCCTGAAGTCATTAAGTTACTAAGTACGGCTTAGGATGTTTTCTTTGACGGTTTTCAGTCCCAGACCAGATAAGACCAGACTTGACTTCTGTAGTTATAAAATACATAGAGACAAGACGTTTACAAGACCAGACCAGTTCAGAGCAGACCGGACCAGCAAATTTAAGTCCAAAAGAAAACATCCTTACACTCTTCTCATTAAAGTAAATATATAATGAACATATGAATTAGCTAGAGAGACATTAAATACTACCACATATAAAGATTAATTGCACAACATTTGCACCAAACTTGCACAATATTTGCACACAACTTGTGTAGATATATCATGAAGACGAATTGGCCCTTAATACCATGATTGACGGGAAACTAGGAATTTGATGGGAAGAGTTTTTTTTTTTTTTTAGGGGGGGGGGGGGGGACGGGAAGAGTATTTAATACATGTTTTTTTTTAATAAAACATTCATAAAAAACTAAAAACATGTACAGCTTCAATTAAAAGATTGTAATTACACCTATTTATTTATCCGTCTCCTCCTTGGGCCGAAACTCGATCCCTTCAATAATCAAACCCCTCTTCCAGTGACCTCTTACCTCCCTCAAGCTCACACAAATATCACCTCTGTCCTCCCCATCTGTGACAAAAAACTCTCCCAGCTCAACTTCCATCCATTCATCACTTCTCATCTTCGGCAACCTAGCAGCCTTCTCTTCCCCATCAACAGCATTCATAAACTCCCTAGGTGCAAACAGTGGATGAGTTTCCCTCTCTACTTGGGTGCTCAAATAAACAGTCTGTTTTTTGGCTTGTCCATATCCACCAATAATGTCAATGGAAGCATCAACTAGCTTGTGATGAAAGCCGTACGTTCTTGGTTGCAATGCGAAGACAAGGTATGCTGCATAGTTCGTGTTTGGAGACAGAAGGGTGCTTTTTATCTTGCCACATATTTCAAGCCAGCAGACGTCCAGAAGCTCGGCCACTTCGGGAAACCTGTTAATTCATTCATAGAAAAAGCAGAGATATCATTCACATTTAGAACCCATTTGGTGACCCTTATTTTCACATTATCAACTTTATCTGCCAATTTTTTTTACCAAAAACTGACAAACTTTTTTAGAGAAAAAAGCGCACAAAAGATATGAGATGAGGCTTTGCTTAATAGCAAAAGTGGTAAGCAAATCGCAGCATTCCCACAAAAAGCAATGCTTATAAAAAAAATACGAAGTATAAATGAACAACCATATCGCTTGCAAATATCCTTATACGGTTTAAAATGCCCCTTCACATGTTCTACTTCTTTTATGAGATGCAGGAAGTTCATGATAAGTAGGAGCCCTCATGCCTGGTCCATGTTGTTTCACAAATTTATAATCAAGCAAATGTACAAATATAATAATGCATACCCAACATTCTCAGGTAAGTTTAATATTGTTGATTCTACCCACGAGAAAAGAAAATCAGATGCAGCCATGAGCCATCACAATATGTGAGCAGATTATACAGTGAATCAAAAGAAAGTAAAATAAACTATGATTTATTATTCATTGAACATACATAAGGTCTCAGACTAAAATTTGCATCTATATTATGTATTTATGTGGTTCCAGAAGCAACAAATACTAAACATATACTACAATAAGTACCTTTGTCCTGAAAGAGTCACTCTACGAGATCTAACTTTTAATTTCTCGTTAGGACGTAAGGTATAATAATTATCAACTCTGGCTATAAATCCTATAATTTAACGAAATTCAACCTACTTGATAAGAAGATGGCTTCTTTATTCAATTTGGACTACATAGTTTGGGGGCATAAATAAACTTTCCATGAACACTCATTTTTGCGTAGTTGAAGTATGCCTTGGCAATCTCTAGTGCTTTCATTTTTCACACAGAAATGGTGGAAAGTGTAAACCTAACTTCAAATAGTATTTCTAGTCCAGCCCTTTACACCATACATCACCAAGGGGAATACTCTTTATATTCTATTTTTACCAACTATTATCAAAGAAACAATGACAGAATGTACTTTTGTGAAAGGACTGACAGACTGTGCGAGTCAAATATTGGCCCATGAGTGTTGGCTTTCAACCAAATTGGAAGATTAGTTTCTTTTGCACCGAGGATGTTTTTACTTGGACTGATTTAAGTCTCAGACCAGACCAGACCAAACCAGACTTAAACAAACCACACCATACCAGATCAAACATAAACAAACTTTCATAATTATAAAATACACAGAGACCAGACACTTACCAACCAGACACTTACCAGACCAGACCAAGTAAAAACATCCCAAGTCACCAACACGCTCAAGAGGGACCAGATGTGGAACTAAATTGGGACTCACATAGACCTCATGAGCTTAATTCAACTTCTGGTGATGTGGGAACTTTACAGTCAACCTTCATGGACACCTTTGAACTTTTGCTGGTTGGAGATGTTTTAAACATATACTACACCCCTCATTAAAAATGATAGACTTTGACGAATTCTGATTGGTAATGCCAGTTTCACAAATCTACAAACCCCATCATTTTAATTTGTAAGTAAAAAACTATAAATAAAACAGTCTGAAAGTTTAAAATTGGGAAGGTTGGATAGACTTTGTCAAATGATTGTGATTTGATAGTTTCACCTACAAAAAATTAACAAATTAACAAATTATGACCAATCAGAATTTGTTAATAATGACATACGTAGTACTTTTAAATTAACAAAATCTAGAAATCACAAAAATTATTTAGCTCGCTAATTTGAAAGCTATAAATGTCATAATCCATAAAGCAATATATATGTTACTTATTTCTTTAATTTAAAAACAAGCTATAAACGCATTAATCCAAAAGGCGATAACATAAATGGCATGTCAAGTGTAAATGCAGGAGTAGTGTATACCTGGAATGTGGGAGAGAGATCCATTGCCAGTATCCAGGTGTGTCCATCCACACAATATTAAGGGCCCTGGCAGCTATCATATAGCATTTCTTCCCACTCTTTTTCTCCAGTGAAAAACTCTGCTTGCAAGCAACAGTGGTGTTTGATGACCATCAAATTGCCAAAAGCTTTAAAGAAATGTATAGGAAAAAACATCTTCCACAAGTGTACACATGTTTTATGTTCATTGATGAAAGTAGATTTACAAATATACACATCTGGTTAAAAAAATTGTCATTTGTGGTCCTTCAATGTGGGTTAGAGGAGTCATGAGTGATATATTTTTTCATGGCTTTAATGAGAGTATGACTTTGGAAATATAAAAATAGAGAGAGAATATTCATGTGGAGGATTGATCTCTTTTCAGAAATTTTATCCATTTATCTTTTTATCCTTTCATCTTCTTTATCTTTCATTTTCTTTATCCTTTTATCCGTATTATCTTATTTTTTTATTCTTTTTATCTTATATTTTATCTTAACATTATCTTATTTTATTTTTATCATATCTTCATCTTATCTTTTTGAGTTTTTTTCAAAAATATTACTAAAATAAAACTTGTTTACACAAATATGACTAATAGGTATTCCCTTTGTCTTGCAAAATTCTTCCCGATGACCTGGTTTGACTTGGATCTGAGTTTAAGAAAAAGGTAATAAAATGAAAATGTATGGTTGTGGTTGAGGAAGAAAAGGGTAAGGGAATGGTAGTCACACAAAACTTTCCAAAGAGGGAAATGGGAAGAATTTTTTGGGGCTTCCAGAAAAGGTAAGTGGGAATAATTTTAAGAGACGGAGGGAGTACTATGGTATAGTGTCATGAATTCATGATCACTTAAGTTTGAAAATTGAACATAAGTTTATATGGTTATGTTACTACTGTACTCGCTAGTCACATTTTTGTAAACAATCTTCATTTGAGTCATAAATAAGTACTCCCTCCGTCCCCTTAAGTTTGTCCCGTTTTACCTTTTTCGTCCGTCCCACTAAGTTTGTCCCATACCATATTTGGTAACATTTGAGTGGTTAGAATTCATTCTTACTTTATTTACACTTTATCAATTCAATACCAACCACACAATTCCACTTTTTCTTAAAAACCACACCACACCCCTCCGTCCCAAACTTAGGGGGACGGAGAGAGTAATTATTTTTATGTTTATCTTATCTTATCTTTTTAGCTCGAATTTCATGTGTCTATTCTTGTCGGTCGATCTCAAACTCTTTTGAGACTAAGGCTTAGGTGTTATTGTTAAGGCTTAGGTGTTATTGTTAATGTGATGTCCGATTATTAATGTAGACATTGGTATTCGACTTTGATTTTTTCCATTTGAAAATTTATAGAGACTTTAGTCATCGACTTTGAAATTCCCTATATTTAGTTCTATGAGAATTATTAAAGCATGCTATAAAAAATGGGCCCAAACATCATTTTTAAACTTAGAGACTCTTTGGTAACAATGGAATTAGTTGAATCTGATGAAATCAATGAAATTATGGCTGAAACGGATGAATTGGATGAATTTACTGAATTATGGAAAAAAGTAAAACACATTTTATTAATAACATAAAGCAAAATCAATCTCCCTCCGTCTCGTTGGAAGGTTCCCGTGGGTAAATGACACATTTTTTAGGCAAGTGATTCAATAGAGTAATTTGGATAAAAAAAACAGAGGAAAGAGAAAATTTAGAAAAATTAAACATATAAGTGAGTAATTAAAGTGAGATAAGTTGGAGAGGGTAAATTTTGAGATTTACATGTAATGAGTAGGAAAAAAAATTGAGTAAAGGTTTAATTAAATTTGGTAAATTATTTGCTGAAATGGAATGATAACCTTCAATGGGGCACCTTCAATTGGACGGAGGGAGTAAGAAGTATGAAAATAGTTAAAATAGTTAAAATAGTCCTACCCACTCCATCACCCATTTTAGTCACTAAGTAACTAACTTTACATTGTCTTTACTTGCATTTATGATTAATTAATACACTGTTCGGTGTCCGAGTTACTGATTTGGTAAAAAGTTGTCGGATTAGTACGGCAAAAATAGGTTTATAAGTAGGAAAAGTTTTGAGTTTCTAATGAGCTTTAAAGTTGTCGACAAAAGCATATCCAAACAAGTTCATAGTACATTCGGATTAATTGCCACTGAAAAAATATGCTTTGCTACTTCCAAAATCAGGGTTATTCTCCTATGGGAGCTATGGCAGAACTGTAAAATTACTCATCTGTGACCAAACATGCTTCATGTCTAATCTGAAAATTTCCATCAATAAATTGTCGAATTTAAAATTCTCGATCTCCTAATTATATCTACGGTAATTAACCAAGAATAAAACGGTTACCTTGGTATCACCGTCGAGTAGGACAGGGAAGTCACAGAGACGGAAGTAGAGATCCCTCTTAGAGAGAGATGTGAGAAAATCGGCGGCGTTAGGAGACTGGGAAATGATTTCACGGTGATCGGGTGGCAGGAAGCGCTCCCAGACGGCGCCGGAAAATGCGGCTGAGCGGAAGAAGGACGCGACCAGCGAAAGGCTGCAAGCTTGTCTGGGGGTAGTCAAGGACAGAATGTTAGCAAGACAATCTACCGGTAGGGCGCCCAAACTAGTTTCCGTCTCCATTGCAATTTCAGATGGAGTCTCTGACTGATGGAGAATTGGAGATAGCCGGTGATATCTCTAGGCAGCAGCTGCGTCGAAGAACTTTGCTTCGTAGTTTCCGTCTTTTTTTTTTTCCTATTATAAAAAAAAAAACTCTACGATCAACAAATAAACCAGACCAACCTTAGAGGAATACTTATTTACCAAATCATTCTGCCGCTAGTATTACGGAATCATTACATAAAGCCATGTAGTAAATAATGTGTCATATAAATATGCCCGAACTTTGCTTCATAGTTTCCGTCTCCATTGCAAATGACCGGCTAATTTCCGGTGTCAAAGCTAACTTTTATGATACTGTTTTTAGGGTTATCTGAGGTTCAATTTTTAGTTTACGTGTTTCTGTCTTTGTAACAAGAACATACTCCGAGAACCTTTAAAACCCTTAAATTGAATAACTTTTGAAGTGCGGATTTTGGAGGTTAAATTCTCGTTTAAGCTAAAATGAACTAGAGTGTCATTATCCAAATAACATTTATTACATTAAACCTAGCTAAATCACCACATGATAAAATGTTTCGGAAGGTAAACGTGGTATTCTCAAATTAAAGCAAAACTCAAAAAGAGTATTAGATGCACTTACCATTACATCCGCTTCTATTTACAATGACTTGGTTGGCTAGTTTTCCCGCACTTAATTGCATTACAAGAGTTAATAATCCACATATGACATGAATAACAACTACTAATCCTATTCCTTTGGCCTAATTTCGAGTCCTTCGACAATCAAACCACATTTCCACTGGCTATTTATCTCCATTAAGCTAATAACAATATCTGCACTTTGTCCATTCTTGACAAAAAACTCACCCAACTCCACTTCCATCCATCCATCTCTTCTACTCTTCGGGAGCTTTGCAGGGTCATTTTGAAAGGCCTCATTCATCTCTTCCCGTCTGACTCTATAACTAGACCCGCGACTGAATGTCCTCATCCGAGGTACTATTGGCGGGTAAGTTGCAACACTCTCATCTCCACGTGCATCCAAATAAATAGTCATCTTTTTAGCTTCTTCATATCCATTACTAATAATCTCAGTTGAAGCAACAACTGATTGGTATTCTAAGCCATAAGTCCTTGCTTGTAATGTGAATACAAGGTAAGCTGCGTAGTTAGTGTCGGGAGACAGCAATCTACTATTTATGTTGCCACGTATTTCAAGCCAGCACACGCTTAAAAGCTCCGCAACTTCGGGGAACCTATTCGTTCATTGAAAGAAAGAAGGAAAGAAAAAAAAATTCCAAGCACACGTAATAGCATGAAGAGCATAGGTACGAGAAAAAATTGTTGATTCAGCTAACCTTGTAATTAACTCACATTGTCATGCATGTACCTATTAGTCATATACTTTTACTCACTTGCAGATTATGTCATGTAACTAATAAGTTCCTCTATTTGACCTTTTTGTTGGAATGTGCAAATTCCATCTAAATACATGTCGGTTCTGATAGGCATTCTAATGGTAGCAAAGTCTTAATACGAATAAATTTATAAGTTACATGATGAGACATGCAAGTCAATGAAGCTACATAATTACTAATGACCACCAACATAAGTTATAGGACTTAATAGGTATCTTCTACTTCATAAAGAGAAAACAACTAAATCCACTTTATTTTTGTGCATGTGCCCTCTGAAGTCTGAAGAATCCGCAAAATTCGAAGAGCAATAGATACACCCTTTGTTCCATTATTATGTTGAAACTCTAATTATGGCACAATCTGAGTAGCTCCATTAAGTTTATCAATTGATGCCATATTTACCTTTACCCAATGAGCTCAAAAATCACTTTCTTTTAAGATGTTCCAATAATGAGCACCGCTTATCCTTAAACACTCATTAAAATGTTCTTTAATTGTTAAAAGTATATATTCCTATAGATGTATATAAAGAGCCCGTTTGGTAGCACCAAAATCGGCTGTTTTGGTTGATTCTGCTGAAATTTATGATATTCTGGCTGGAGTGGCTGTTTTGGCTGATTCTGCTGATTTAAGAAAAAAATATTTTAAAAATATATTTTATTAATAAATTAAAGAAAAAATTATATGTAAAAATAGCTAAAATGGTCCTCTACAGTAACTTCAGCCAATACAGCCAGAAAAGTAACTCCAACCTTACTTTTTCGGCTTATTACACAATTCAGCGCGCGAAAGTAAAAGTTACGTGTTTGGTGAAAAAGCTGGCTGATAAGCCTGATAAGCCGAAAACAGAGTTCTCCAAACGGGCTCAAAGTATACTACACAATATTAGTAAAATGTGCTTCTTGAACACGTTGGTCAAAAATGTTCATTGGTCAAAATATAGATCTATAACAAAAAAAAGTGTCAAATGTGGGAACCACATGGGAGAGAAGGCACTATATAATTGCAATTGGTTTGTAACATAATCGCAATTTTGGTAAAGTGAGAATTCAAGAAAATTAAAAGATTGACCACCGGGGCTATGAAGAAGCTAAGGTTTTGTGGAATGATTATGGATTGATGGCATGGACCATATAATCTTGAACCAAAAATTTGTGGGGTTTGGATAAAAAATCTTTATTGATTATATTATTTGGTTCTGAGATAACACGCCCAATAAACCAGTGTAAAAACTAATGTGAAACTTTAGATTGACTAAAGAGTATTTAGCTTCATACAAGCTTCCCTTTTATGGAGTATTACATGATTATCAATCATGTATTACAGATTATATGATCCTATTACCTATATACTACATATAGTCCTCATTTCAAATTACAAATCTTGAACGATGTGAGGCTAATTATGATTGATAATATTTAAATTAGTATGGAGTATTACATACGTAGGATAACACACACACATTTTCTCTCTCTCTCACATATAGTTCCTTGGTTCGAAATTCGAAGTCTCGTGCTCTTTATGTCATCAGATTGAAAATTATTTGTGTTAAAATTCCTAGATAACTTCATAACTCTTGCCTTTTACCTTCTCTAGAAAAAACAGTGAAGATAAATTTGTAAATTTAAAAGAAAAAGGTTAAAAATTTGAAATTTATGTAATAAAAATGCCAAAAGGGGAAATATAAATTTTAATCTCGAACACCTCCAAATGAAAAAAATGAGATTTTCATTTTTAGAAAGGAGAGTATTTTTATTGAAATGGATGTGTATGTGAAAAAATTGCCTCACAGGATCATACTACGAAAATTTGATTGATTATAAATAATAATCAAAGCTAAATATGATAGATAAAGAGTATAAGAACATCTAAATATTTCGGTATATGTGATAAATATGATTAATGAAAATTAATACTAGTAATTAACTAGGGAGTTTATTTCTTCATAAGGATGGAAAACTACTTTACCGCTCAAATATTGCCGAAAAGATACGCCATATACAGGAACTTAATTTTAGAGCATTTTAAGAATGAAAGTGAGAAATTAATCATAGAGCGGGAGAAGTATTTCCGCTATAAATAATGTCACATCATTTGTTGATGCAGTAGTTTGTACAGTAGTTTGTACCTGGAGTGCGGGTGAGAGATCCATTGCCAATATTTAGGTGTGTCACTCCACACAATCTCAAGGGACCTTGCACCTATCATGTAACATATTTTCCCACTCTTCTTCTCTAGTGAAAAACTCTGCTCGACCACATGGCATAGAGTTGAAATATTAAAATACAAAGTTGAAATATGAAAAAGGATGTAAGCGATGTTTTCCATATTATAAAAAAATGAAATCTCAAAGTAAAAGCTTCACAAAAATTGTAGTAATATGTTTTCATTTTGGTCTTTCTAAAAATTTGTGTCACTTCATTGAAAGAAATTGATGTGGCTAAAATTGTTTCTCTTCACTTCATTCAAATTTAAATCATACAGTTTTTATTTTATTATTCTTCACGCAAATCAATTTTAATCAAATTAATGGGACGAGGGGGGCTTAGAATTTGCATATGAGTTGTCGATGGGCGTAGCTCAACTAGTAGATAGGGAGTGATACAAGAGGTAAGTCTCATAATCGAATTCCAGCCACTGCGATGAGAACATATGATGTTAAAAATGCATATGATCTCTGCAAGTATCTGGATCAGAGCCTCACTCTCTATATGTGGGGGTCTCAATGGATTGAGTGTCTATCTCTTTTTTATAGAATTCGCATATGAGGGGTAAAAAGTTATCAATTATAGGCTAATACGGAAGAGGAGTACTATGCAACAAGCCAACAACACGAAATTCAATTGAGAGAAAAAGCCGTTTTACCGATTTAAAAAAATGATTTTTAGCAATTTGTGGGGGGAATATGCAAAGTACGGTATTTACATACGTAGTACTACAGTAACCAAGAATCTAACAGTTAATTACCTTTGTGTCATTGTCTATAAGGACGGGGCGATCGCAGAGGCGGATGAAGAGATCCCTCTTGGAGCCAGAAGCGAGCAAATTGGCGGCGCTACTAGACCGAGAAATGATGTCACGGTAATCCGGCGGGAGGAAACGCTCCCATACGGCGTCGGAAATGGCGGCGGAGCGGAAGGTGGGCGCAGTCAGCGAGAGGCGGCAAGCGTCTTCGGGGGTAGTGAGGGACAGAGCGCTAGAGATGCAGTCTTCGGGAAGAGAGTCAAAGCCGGTCTCCCACGCCATTGCAAGCAACCACGATCTGTGAGTTTCCACGTAGGGGTACGTTGGGTACGAATATGTGGACGTTCCATGCACATTATTTATAGTAAGATCGAATAGAGTGGGCTAGATTTGTTGGTCCCAATCATGGCAAGCACTTCTCCAAACCTTCCATTTAAAGCTCAACCGGTAGATAAAGAATGTTACAAGGATAAGTTTCGGATTCGAATTCAGGCGAATGTGATAAGGGATTATTATGTATAAACGCATAGAATCCCTGGAGGTATGTGGGCAAAAGCCACACTCGCTATCGGTCAACTTATGATTAAACTTCGCTTTACATCGTCAATTGTCTGGCCGGTGCTATGGGACACTGAGATGGGTATCATCCTACTAAATAAATTTAATTTACGTAGCTCAACCGGTAGATAGGAGTGTCACAACTCGCAAGGGGTAAGCTTTGAGTTCGAATTCTGGTAATTGCGATTAAATGTTACTGTGTAAAAAATGCATAAGGCCAATATGCAAGCACTTGAGCCAGAGCCTCATTCACAATATGTCAGTTTGTGATTAAAGTTCAATTCGCATCCTCTCAATTACATGTCCGGCCGGTGTTGGGGGACTCAATGATGGAATGCCATCATTTTTTTTTACTAAATGAGTTTAATTGTGTGATTCGGTTCATTAGGACGCTTGAATATGACGCTTGAATACGGATTTTTGAACTCGATAACATCTTTCCAATGAGATAGAATACGCTTGAAACGGAATAAAATATAATAAGATATGATCAAATCAAATACTACAGAAGTTCGAAGTGAAATTGGAAATTTTAAACTCAATTGGTGGACCATCCACGAATTCACAATCCACTAGTCTAATTATGTGCTTTCAAAACCTACTCACAGAAATAAATACCAGTTGCTCAAATAATAGGCTAGGTTTTCAAAGCCTACGCACATGTGTCCTCAGATTCCCATTGAATTTTCAAGAAGAAATTCACTCTCACACTGACCCGCTTGAGATGATATGAAACATAGTTGTGCGATTGTTGGTGGTATTGGTCCTACCAAGGCCTCCCTTCCACTTTATTAGCTGAGGCTTGCACCCTATTGATTTACTCCCTCTTTGACACCTTTACCTTGGTATATTATCTGATCAATTATATACCTGTTTGACTTATCTGGTATGTCCCATTGCTTGCTGTCCGCTGCACTCCCATTTGGCTTAGCTTATACCCGTGAGTGTCCTTACCATCTTGTGACTGTCCTTGTTGTCTGCCCATTGGCTGGCAGCCTACTATAAGTCAACACTCCCCCCCTTCTTTGTGATTCAAGCCTGCGAGAGAGTAACACTTCCAGAGAGCAGTGTCTTCCTTCTTCCTCTTTGTGAGTTCCTCTGTGGTTAGAAGAAGAGAGTTGAGAGATAGGTGTGCTATAGCCTCCTCCTAGTGTGGTGTATGTGAGTAGTGTGTAGAAAGACCTGAGCCGGAGACGGATATACGATCCTTACAGTGGTATCAGAGCCTGGAACCGCCGTCTGCCGCCGCCGCTGCCGCCGTTCGCCGCCGCCGTCGATTGGAGCTCGCCGTCCAGAGTTTGTTTGTCGTTTCAGCCCATCGTCGATTTAGGAGGAGTCAGACCAGAATCGTCGCACGTCGCTGAGGAGCTGCCGACCGGAGGACCTGAACGTCGCTTGAAGACTCGTCAGAAGTTCAGACCGCCATAGCCACCCCTGGAAGTTCAATCGTCACCTGGGAGCTCCACTATCGAAGTCGCTGTGCTACTTCGCCGTTTTCCGATGGACGCCGGGTTGCTCGTTTGCCGACAAAGAAGCTGGTGACTCCCTGGTTCGCTTCTGGAACGACGAGGACGAAGCAGAGAGAAATCACAGTCGCGTGTCCTTCGACGAAGGCGCTGTTCATACGCGCTGGGGACACGACAAATAAGAAAGCTGGACGGTCTAATTAAGCTCTGGGCTGCTGGGCCTTTCTTCTCTGGGCCGCTGGACCTGGTGAATTGTTGGAGAGCTGGGAGTTGGGCCACTGCTTTGTTGCTAGAACTTGTTAGCTGGACTGGATTGGAGCTGCTGCTAACTTGTTGGACTGCTGGAGTTGGAACCAGTCAACCACCGGTCAACAGCCAGTCAACGCCGGTCAACGCCAGTCAACCCTCCAGAAAAATCCCAAATTTTTTAAATTTGGGTAGGTAAGGTCGAAACGCTCTCCTAGGGTTTCGCGAAGGTAAGTTTTCTTTAAACTTCCCATTTGTTATATTCCGGTTTTAATTTAATTTAATTTATTCCCCCTCCCCGCGGGCCGCCGGTTGATTTAATCCCGGCCGCCAACCCCCCAGGTACGTACTAAACCCTCTCCTTTGTGGTTGATTGTTTTTAGTTGATTAATTAAATTACTAAGTGTTATTTAATTTAATTGTTATGCGTATGGGTGGTTTATTGGGTGGTAGGGGTAGAATTAATTAATATTTAATTTTCTGTCCGGAATTGTTTAATTGCCAAAATGTCCATTTTTTTGCTATGTGTTGCATGCTGCCCGGGGTTATTAAAGTGAATACTTTATAACCCGGGTTGGATTATTTTCTGTCATTTCTATCTGTTTAGCTTTGTGTTCCTTTGTGGTTGATACCATGGCTGCAAATCAGTATGGTATGCTTCCATTTAATGGAAAAACAGATTTTGATATTTGGAAACAGAAAATAAAATGTGTTTTAATACAGCAAAAAGTTTTCAGAGCTGTCACTGGTATTTTCCTTGAATCTGAAGATAAGGCTAAGCAAATTGAAATGAACGAAACTGCTTGTTCTACTATTTACTTGAATCTGTCTGATTATGTGCTTAGGAAAGTGGGTATTCTTGAGTCCGCTAAGGAGTTGTGGGAGAAATTGGATAGTCTCTATACTGATACCTCTTTACCAGGGAAGTTGTTCTTGCTAGAGAAATTCTTTAGGTTTAGGCTTGACCTGACTAAGGATATAGATGAGAACCTGGATGTGTTTAATAAACTGATACAGAATATCAAACAGGCAGGTGATAAACACATAGATGATTACACTCCCATAGTATTACTTAATGCCATTCCCGACTCTTATAATGATGTTAAGTCCGCTATTAAGTACGGTAGGGATGAGATTTCATTAGACATTGTTGTGAATGGGTTAAGGAGTAAGGAATTAGACCTGAAGCATGCTAGGGGTAGTGCTAGTCAGTCCAGGGACTCCGGTGAGGCTATGTTTGTTAGGGGTAGATCTAAGGGTAGGTCTAAGAATCCTAAGCAAAATAGTCAGGGTAAGAACGCTAGTCAGCCTGGGAGGAAGAGGAGTAAATCTAGGAAGAGAGTGTGTTACAATTGTGGTAACACTGGCCATTTCATTAAGGATTGCCCCCACCCTAAGAAGACCGAGCATGCTAGTGTAGCTGTTGATAAATGTGACCTTGGTGATATTTTGATGGTTTGTGACCATGTTAACTCTGTGAGAAATTCCCTGTCTGAGCATGAATGGTTGATTGACTCTGGTTGTACCTATCACATGTCCCCCTTTAGAGATTTGTTTTCTACATATGAATTATGTGATAGTGGCTACGTTTCCTTAGCTGATAATAAGAGATGCAATGTGCTTGGTGTTGGTGATATATGTCTGAAATTTTCTTGTGGCTCTGTGTTTACCATTAAGAATGTGAGGCATGTCCCTGATTTGTGTCATAACTTGTTATCTGTTGCTGCTTTGGAGAGTAGTGGGTTACAGGGAAAATGGGGGAATGGTTGTATGAAAATCCTGAAAAACTCGCTTGTTTTGTTTAAAGCTGAGAAGGTGAATAACCTTTATGTGTGTCATGCTAAACCTTTTGCTGAGTCTGTGAATGTTGTATGTTCTGATAAGACCTCTTTGTGGCATAATAGGCTAGGACATATGAGCAATAAGGGTTTAGATGTCATGCGTAGGGCTGGTTATTTTGGTAAGGACTCTGTGACTTCTGTGCCTTTCTGTGAATCATGTGTGTTAGGCAAGCAGCATAGAGTCAGTTTTCCTCCTTCCTTTTACCCTAATCTGTCTAAGTGTTCGTCTGTCCTTGAATATGTTCATGCTGATGTTTGGGGTCCTGCCAGTGTTCCTACCCACGGGGGTAGGAAATATTTCCTTTCTATTATTGATGATTTCTCTAGGAAGGTGTGGGTTTGCCTTTTAGAACACAAGTCTGATGTGTTTGTAAGGTTTAGGGAGTGGAAAACCCTAGTTGAAAACCAAACTGGCAGGAAGGTTAAGACCCTTAGGACCGATAATGGGTTAGAGTTCTGTAATAAGGAGATGGATAAGTTGTGTGTGGATTGTGGGATAAAAAGGCACAAAACTGTGCCTTATACTCCCCAACAGAATGGGATAGCAGAGAGAATGAATAGGTCTCTGTTGGATAAGGTTAGAAGCATGTTAGCTACCTCTGGTTTGTCTAAGAAATTCTGGGGTGAAGCAGTCACTACTGCTGCCTATTTGGTTAATAGGTCCCCGTCAGTCCCTCTTGGTGGTAAGTGTCCTGAAGCCGTCTTTACCGGTAAGCCTCTTGATCTGTCTAACCTTCGGGTGTTTGGTTGAGCAGCGTATGCACACCAACAGGGTGACAAGTTGGATCCTAGGTCTAAGAAATGTGTCTTCCTAGGTTATCCAGAGGGGGTAAAGGGTTACAGGTTATGGGATAGGAACCAGGTAGGCTTTAAAGTGGTCCTTAGCAGAAATGTGGTGTTTAATGAAACTGATTTTCCTTGCTTGACCGAGTCTGCTTCTAATCCTGAGTCTAGGTCTGATAGTACTCCTAGTGAGGTGGAGTCTGTCCCTGTTGCTGCTAGTCCTTTATCTGTTGATCCTGTTATTTCTGACGATATTGTTATGCATGATTCTGATTCCTCTGAGCATGTTAGTCCCACCACCTCGAGTGAGGTGGAGCATTTGCATGATACTGAGCATGATTTGCATGATATGGGTGCTGAATCTGAGTTTCATGATAACAATAATTTGCATGAGTTGCATGTGGAGCCTAGTAGTGATAATTT